CAGCCCAGGCAAAGTCAGAACATCTGGGATGGTTTTCCTCGGAGACCTTAATGTTCCCCAGCATTCTTCCAGGTTATGCATGCCTGGAAAACACGTGCGTGGGAACACACACACACACACACACATTCACACTGCAGCCTCCTGGAGAAAAGGGATTAATTCAGACAAGACCACATGTGCTGGGGCTGGGGATGTGGCTCAAGCGGTAGCCCGCTTGCCTGGCATGCGTGCGGCCCGGGTTCGATCCTCAGCACCACATACAAACAAAGATGTTGTGTCCGCCAAGAACTAAAAAATAAATATTAAAAAATTCTTAAAAAAAAAAAAAGACCACATGTGCTGTTGGGATGCAGCCTAGACTAGAGGTGGCGTGGGAGCTTTCAGAGTTAGGCCAGGTTTGAAACCCACATCTAACTGTGTGCTCTTGGGAAGCTCATTTAACCTCACAGAGCCTCCATTCTTCATGTATCAAAGAAGCGTAGAACATCTACCTTGCAGGGACTCAGGAAATGTCCATAGAATGCCCCAAGGGATGGCTCAAGTCCTTAAGAGAATTCCTCCCGGTGCAGCGTGCAGGCCCGTAATCGCAGCTGCTCAGAGGCTGTGGCAGGAGGATTGCCAGTTCAAAGCCAGCCTCAGCAACTTAGCAAGGCCCTGTCTCAAAAAGTAAAAAGGGCTGGGCATGTGGCTCATGGATTAAGTACCCCTGGATTCACTCCCTGGTACCAAAAAAAAAAAAAAGAATTCCCGTGTCTCACACTCACATCAGCTGTAGAAACAAAGCCACCCCCAAAGAAGAAGTCAGGCAATGGTGGTGGCCCTCTCCCAATTCTCCCCTTGTGCCTCTGTCTGTCTTTGTAGCCCACCAACAGCTATCTCATCCACATCCAACAAGCCAGCCTCCACCCAGAGGTGGCCAAGGGAGACGCTTTTGATTTTTATTGTCACCACCAACCACCACCCCTCCTGTTAACATCCCAGGCCTCCTCTGGGGGATGCCTGGCTGCATAGTTTCAGGACCTGAAGTCAAATGGACGAGTCTGACCTTCACTGGAGGTCCCAGAACTAAGCATGGCTCATCGCTCTCTCCCTCCTCGCTGGAATTGTTAAATAAGTGACATCCCAACATGGGGACGCTTGTGGCCACACGTGTCCAGCCGTGGCCCAGATGATTGCCACATTTCCATTCCTGTCGGAACAGTGTTCTCGCTGCCTGGCCTTTAGACTCTGTGCTTACTGTTGTAAACTAGGACATTCCCCCTGTGTTGTTCTGAAAGATGGCCTCTCCACTGATCCCAGCAACAGCTGCAACAGCAGCACTGCCCGATACAACCAGATTCGGGGAGGGAAGACAGAAAAGGGGGTTCACCCTATGTAAAAAGCTTTCTCTCTTACTATGACCAACCTCTGGGGCTTTGGGGAGAGATGAGACGCATCACTAAACAGGACATGGCAGTCAGGTTGAAATCGTGCACCTCCATGAGAGAGAGAGGAATTGGGATGCTTTTCAGTTTGCAAATTTGTCATCAAAGGGAGCCAGAGGACGGAGGGGCAGGAGAGAGTGGTAAATATCAGTGTATCCAACTATCAACCCAAACACACCCTCTTGATGGGTGTTTGGTAGAACTCAGAAGTATTGCAGTTTTCAGGGTGTGGAGAAGCATCATCTCTTTCTCTCTTGACCGTCTCTCTCTGCACCTTGGCTGTGGCAAAGCTGCCTCAGAGCAGTTTACAAGTTATCCGAATGTCATCCTACTTAACATGTCCCGTGGTCTGCTGGCTGATGGTAGTTTAAGCAGGATCTAATTGGTAACATATTGTCGATTGAATTAAGTGCCATATGATAGAGATTTAAACCAGGGTAATTTTTCCATAAAGAAAAATCTGTCAACAGACTACGGCAGAGGAACAGCAATAAATCAAATTGTCATGTTTATTAGTTATTGCCAGAGTCTTGTTGTCTTGTATTCATTAAACACCCCCATTTTTAGCACAGATAAAAGCTATAAAGAGGGATATTTGTGCAAGATGCTTTTTAATAGGTTTATATTTGTGCACAAACACCTGCTTCTATTTTAATCAGGAGAAAAATGGTGCTATTTCACTTTCAAAGGAATGCGCGCTTGGATTGTTTTCTGGATGAGGGATAATGTTTTTAGCTATTTCCAAAGCTATGTTTTAAAACTCTCAGAATCAACTCACTAATAAAGACAAGAATTAAAAAAAAAAATGAGAGAACACCATTTGCTTCTCAGATTTGCAAAACTTTTGAAAACAGACAGGGATGGAAGAGCAGTCATCACAGTCTGATTTGAAATGTCTAAAACTCAGGAAGAAAGCAAATTTTCTTCTACGAGAATGGCTTAACAAATTACGGATTGTCCGCACCAGAGAGCGCAAAGGAGCTATTTGAAAGAACAAATAAGGTCACGCTTAGTAGTCTGTCATTAAGAACCAACATCCTTTGTAACTTTTCCTGTCCTTTTAATTTACCTTTCCTGAAAGTAGCCCCCCAAGTTTTTTTCCTTGTGATAAATCAGAGATGATATAGCAGCATTTGATATGTGAAGCCTTATTGGACTCTCCTAAAACACCATGCTGAAGAGGTTATACCCACTGGACAGATAAAGAAACTGAAGTGCAGAAAATAAAAGTATGACCCCAGGGTTCCTGTAGCTGTCAACCTCGGGAGAAAGACAGGAAGGCCTCTGAACGGTGGTGTAGAAATAAAGGTTTATAAGCCACATTTTATTAATTTGATTATTTTTGCAGTTCTGGGGGTCAAGCCAAGGGCCTTGTGCATGCTGGAGCCATATTCTACCACTGAGCTACACCCCCAGCTCAAATGAAGGATCCATAGATTGGAGCCCAGCACTCAGCTCCATACCATCCTTTCTTGTCATTGCAATTTTGAACTCATTTCTTGAATTCTTTGGGACTTGGTTTCCTCATCTGTCATGTTTCATTACTGCTTGATTCATTTTCTAGTGGAAAGGTGTGGGGGCTCAGAGCACAGGATCTGGAAGGATTCAGATCCCCATGATGCCATCTCCGAGCTCTGCACCCACTGGACATCGACCGACCTTCTCTCTAGGACAGGCACAATCGCAATGGCTCCATGCAATTAAATGATAGGGTGCAGGTGAAACACTTTGCACCGCACTTCATCCTCGAGAGGTAAACCCCTCGTTAGGTTCTGTCCTTAGGACGCTGTGGTCATATGGGTGCCTTCTCTAGGTTCCTGAGCACCTGGGCATGAAAAATACCATGAGCACCTGTACTCAAGCCCAGAGCTCTGTGCTCGCTCCTCCTAGGTGGACCTCACAAAGAGGGGCTTCCTGGCTCCCTTCTCAGCCTCCTGTTCACTAGCTCCCTGCAGCAAAGGGCTGCAGTATCGTGGCTCCGGCCTTGAGTTCCCCCTAAACCCATTCTGCATGCCTCACCTCCCCCTTCCCACCTTTCCCAGCCTCCTACCATTTTCCTTCGAGTCTCATGGTTTAATTGCATGAAAGGTGCTCCGCGGCTGCTCCTGATAGCTGCTGAGCCTTATCGGGTCCTTTCAATGGGCCAGGCGCTCTTCTGAGCACTTTGCCCGTATGAATGCAATTAGCCCTTGTTGGAGAGGTACACATTTATTGTACCCATTTCACAGAGGCAAGAATTCTGATGCGGAGAGGCATGGGGACTCGCCTAAAGCCATCCTGTTAGAGTTGGGATTTGAGTCTAGCAAATAAGAAATGCATTTTTTTTCCATTTTCAAAAGGCAGATTACATAAAAACATGCCTGATACAACCAAACAGTAACTGCAGGTAACACCCAAGGGAGCGGCCGTTGCCAGGAGCAAAAGCAAAACCCTGAGAATGTTGTTTGTGTGACTTTCACTGCCAGCATTGCTCCCTGGGCGACCTCCACAGCCCTAAGAGAAGGAAGGTGCCCTGTGGTTCCAAGAATTCCTAAAGTTAGCCTAAGGAACATTTGCTGCTTTTGACAAAAGCTGAGACAATAATTTTTTTAAACTGAAAGAATGAGTTGATCCACACCTTGTTAATGTGGACGTTCGGTTTTTAGCTGTTCTTATTGCAATTTCCGGCTTCCCACTACCTGAACCAACCCTGTCTCCCAGGATTTCCATCCCCGCTTTGGATAAAAGGGATTGTGAAATGCATATCTAAGCACGATTGCACTTTTACAATTGTAAGACTTGAATGACAAGATTCAAGTTACATATAGAAAAAAATTATATATAGAAAAAAAATCCTTTGTCATTCTATTAGTCTTCTTTGGTTTCAAAAATAGGGTCATTGTGCCATTTTATATCATGCTATTCACATACCTTGTGTGTCTATACGTGCTGTGTGGATGTATATACGTCTGAGTGTGTGGCACGTGTGTGTAACACACGCACATATGCTGTGTGTAAGTAGATGATGTGTGTGTGTGCGCGCACACACACACACACACACACACACACACACACCATGTGCTGTCCAAGTAACAAGAGCGATAGCTCCACCAGCCCCGGTGGTGAGAAGCTCCCACGTTCTGAGCCACATCTGCAGGAGCCGTGGTGACCTAGGCAACACACCACCCTCTCCCCTTCCTGTAACCAGGCCTTTCTGAGATCACTGAGGCCATTTGTAGGTCCAGCCTGCAGTCACACCATGAGTTCTTTTTTTTGAGGTACAGCTAATGGCCTCCGTGAGGTTCAGACACACTTTCCCTAGGGGCCAAGGACCCAGCCAGCGTCACCAATATACATCGGAGCACATTTGCACCCGGGCTGTGTTTTCCTTGCATGTGGATCCTGTGACCTTCCTCGGTCACCCTCCACCTGGGTCATCTCAGCCTGCTCAGCCGTTCACCCAGGGCTGATGTCCCTGTGGAGCACTTGGGAATGCTCCCTGCTGCCCAGGCCTGGCTCCCGAGAGTCCCACTTGCAGGGCCCGGAGGGCACCCATGGCGGCCCAGAGGGGCCACACGCTGTCCTTCCCCACCTTACCTCTGAGCTCTCACAAGCCTTTTCTTTCTGTCCCAAACAAATGGCTGGTCTTCTTGCTTCTGGGTGGCGTGGCGCTCGCTCCTTGCTGCAGCGTCTGAGTGGCACTTTCTGTACAAACAGGAAGAGTGTGTGTGGTCACCACCCGAGCGTGCAGGTGTCGATAGAGGATGTGGAGGCCAACCACGCACCAGGCCCCCAAGCGGCCTCCCTCCCCTGCAGCAGGCCCAGGTCGACCAGAAGCTGGAAGCAGAGCCCGGGGTTGCTCCCTGGGGACACCTGACAAGACGGAGCAAGGCGGCCGTGGGGCCCAGGGGCGGGCTGGGATTCCTTAACGACACCCTTATCATCAGGTGGCTGCCAACTCGTCACAGCCCTCTGGATCCCCAAATTGTCGGGACACCCAGGAGACCAGGACCAAAGGCTCCTCCTGCTCCTTGATGGGCCAGAGGTTTTCTAGAACTTTCTAGGAAAGGAGAAAAAAACGCTAGTGAGGGAATCCAATGCCCCAAGGCCGCTGTCCTTGAAGGGCTTCCACCTCACAGCGCCCACTCCCGAGTCAGCCCGCACCTTCCCCTCCACTCCTCCTCTGCAGTCCGGGGGCTACCTGCCAAGCCCAAGTCCACCTACGCCCACGGCTCTGCTGTTCTCTCGGCATGTCCCCCAGCACCTGGGGTTCCACCACACTTTGAGATCCCTGTCTGTGGGTCACCTGCGCTGTCCCCTACCTGGCCTGGGGACTCCCTGCTGGCTCCTCCCCCCTCGCCCTTTCCTCCCCACCCCCCTACCCCGCCTTCTGCTCCTGGGCTCCTTCAGGCTTCCCAGGAAATCCGTCTCACGTGGGCATTTCCATCCCAGTCCTAATCTAGATCTCCTTCTGGACATAACTAGAAACTTCTCCACCCCGTTCTACACACCACCACGGGGAGGTGACCCCAGGATTGGCCACACCAGGTCCCGACGAGGGGAAAGCCCTGTCTCCTACACCCAAACCAGAGGGGGAGCCGCCTGCGCTCCTGGGTTTCTGGAAGGCGCTCACTCTTCCATCGCCAAACCCTGTCAGTCCAACCTCTGAAACTCCTTTCCCTCCTCCTCCTTCCGAGGGTCAGACCTCCCCAGCAGCGCCCCTCACCCGGGCCTGAGCCCCAAAGGCCAAGGGTGCCCAGGGTGTGCAGGACAAGTCCCGAGGTATGGGGAGAAAAGGTTTGAGTTCCTCTCAACCACACTTATTTTTGTTGTTGTTCGCATTTTATTGGGGTGATAGTCACATCCTATAAAATGAGCCATCTTCAAGTGTACAGTCCTGTGGCACTGAGTACTCTCCCTGTATGACCGTGTCCTCCACCTACTTCCAAGACTCAGTTTTCAGGTTTCTGTTGGTACTGGAGATTGAATAGTTGCTGAGGCTGTCTTTGAACTCATGATCCTCTCGTCTCAGCCTCTCCAGCCGCTGGGATCACAGGTGTGTGCCGCCACGCCTGGCTTCAGGTTTATTTATTTATTTGGGTACTGGGGATTGAACACCAGGACACTCAGCCACATCCCCAGCCCTGTTTTGTATTTTATTTAGAGCCAGGGTCTCACTGAGTTGCTTAGGGCCTTGCTTTTGCTGAGGCTGGCTTTGAACCCACGTTCCTCCGGCCTCAGCCTCCCTAGCAGCTGGGATCACAGACGTGGGCCACCATGCCTGGCTTTCACGCTTGTTTCTACGTCATCTTTTCAGTGTTTACTTTCTGTGTACATTAACGCACATCAAGGGCACGCGCGGTTGTGTGGTACGGCATCTGTCAGTAGTCATGCATCTGCTGAGAATGTGTCATAAAGACTTTTTTTTTTTTTTTTTACTGAAGAGGGAACAGGAGCAGAAATGTGACCTCCACCTGCTCTCACGTGACAAGCTGCAGAGTGTCTTCCAAACTGCCCCCAAATTATCTTTGGACAAGACTACAGACACGACAGCGGTACAGACCCCGACCCCACTCCCAGGTCCTGACCCTTCAGCGGCTCCCTCTCACCCAGGTTCCATGGCTGGACAGAGGGGGCACTGTGCGCTGGCCCCAGGCCTCTCCCCAGCCTCTGTCCACTGTCCCTACCGCGTCCTCCCCGGGCCCCACAACACCTGGTTCCCGCAAGTGCAGGCTCAGCCTGGACGGTGCCCAGTGCTCCCTCGGGGAGGACTCTGGGTCCATCGGCTACATGGCAGATACCATGATGTTGGAAATCCTTCCCTGTTGACCCTCCCTGAGAGGGATTCATCCCCTGTGTGGGCTTTCCCTGAAGCCATCGCCATGTTGGGTGGCGCTGCAGGTGATTTGGTGGGGAGGAGGGTGGGGTTCGCCATTAAAAGGACCTGGGTTTGAATCCTGGGTTTGAGTGGTTCTGGGACCTATAAGAAAGAGGTGGAGCCTGATAGGAAACGATTAGGGACAGACGCCGCCCTTGGGAGAGAATAATTCTGTCTTCTGGGACTGAATCGGTTGCTGTGAGAGCAAGTTGTTATATAGCTGGTTTGGTTTTTCCCAGACTAGCTCTCTTTCCCTCTCCATTTTCTCTGTCTCTCTCTCTCTCATGAGCATGAACTCCTACCATGGAATGCTATCTCCCAGTCAGGACCTCTCAGAAGATGACACCAGTGGCTTTGCTCTTCAATCTCCAGAACCAGGAGCTAAATGAACTTTTTTTTCTTTATAAAGTTTCTCGCCTCAGGAATTTTGTTATGGCAACACAAAAACGATGAATCCCCATCCTTGCCATTGAGTGGCTTCAGAAACCAAATGACATGGTGTGTGTACAGAATGTAGCCCGTGTTCAGAAAGTGGCAGGGATTAACATGAATATTTATTTGCTTATGTTACCGTTCTGTAAACTTCTTGTAGAATTCATACATTTTATACCCAGGAGAGCTACCCCCCAGTAAGGCAGAATGTCTTCATCACAAAAAAAAAAAGTGTGAATTATTTAGTGTTCAATTGTAACAAAGTGCAGACAATGCATGCTCTGTCACCATGCCCGTCAATGTCCCTTCTGCTCGCCGCCCCACCCGCCACACTTAATGATAATCACTGATAGACTTGTGACTCTTCTCCTGAGACTGCGGGCCCTGTGGGGCGGGGAGGCGCTGCTCTGCCAGGCCTATCTCTGCAGGTCCCTGGCACCTAGTGGACCCTCGATGACTATGGGTTGAGCAAATCAAAGAATGAGGAGGTTGTTAGACTGCAGTTGGGTAAAGCCGATTTTGAGCCGGAATTCTGCCACATCGTCACTGTGTGACCTGAAGTCATTTGAAACATTCCTGAGCTTCAGTTTCCAAATCTGTAAGCGGGGGAAGCACAATATCCACCCTCCCATGGGACAGGGTTGTCACCAAACCAGGTTGTCCTTGCAAAATTTAATCATTTTGTATAATAATATCATTTAAAAAAAATGATGTCCCTGAGCACCGTTGCGGCTGGGTGAGATTCGTGATGTTCGGGAATTCCAGAAGAAGGCTGGACTCGCTCCGTGTCCTGAGCAGGCCCTCTTCCCAGCATGCCCTGCTTCTCCAGCATTGAGAGTCGGCTCCACCTTTGCGCCAGCCAGGGCTGTCTGCGGCTGCTGTGCCTCTGTCACCGTGTGCTGTGGTTTGGGTGTGCATCCCCCAAAGCCCATGTGGTAGAGCTTTGCTCTCTGGCCTGTGGTGCCACTGGCAGGTGGCAGAGCCTGCAGGAGGTGGAGCCTGGTGACAGGAAATTGGGTCAATGGGAGCATGCCCTCGGAGGACCCTGATCCTCCTCCCTTCCTTTCTTTTCTTTTACTTCCTGGATGCCATGAGGTGAGCAGCTCTCTGCCACCACACCATGCTATGCTTTGCTAAGGCCCAAAAGCCATGGGCCAACTGACTGTAGGCTGAAACTGAATAATAAAAGAAAACAACTTTTTTTTCCTTCTAAGTTGATTCTTCTCAGGTGTTTTGTCACAGTGATGGAAAACTGACTAACACAATGTACAAATTTCCCTCAGCTTCTCTAGACAAGAGAAGTGCATCTTGCCACCATATTGTACCCTGTGGTAGTGAATGAAACCACAGAGAACACAGCCTGATTTGTCTGACAGGACCTTGGAAACAAGCCCACCTTGGCCACACTTGCTGGGCACAAGGACACCAAGAGCATGTGGGGCTGTGTGAGTTTTTTTGTGAAGCTGGGAAGGGACACAGACATGTGCATGGGAATCTCAGCTGAGCAAAGGGAACAGCAAAGACGGGCGTGGGCCAAAAGGCTGGTTAGTGCCGACTGGGGCCATTTACCATCATTTCCAACCAGGCTGGGTATAGATGGCCTAGTCTGTTCAGTGTGAGGATAGGTAAGAAGGACAGGTACCGAGGGAGGAAGCCCCACTGGTTTGTCACCAGGGAGTCTGTGCAGGGCCAGGGATGTACACCTGCGAGCCTTCTCCATCCTCAAATCCCCCTGAGGACTCCATTGTCACAGCCAGGAGTGAGGCTGGTACCCAGCAGGTGCCGGGGGTTTTGTCTGGGTGAATAAGGGATCTAATCCAACCAGCATCCGTTATCTGTATATCTGTGTCTGTCTGTTCTGTGTGATAGTAAAAATAGCTGACATCTACCGAAGCTTGTCATGGGTCGAGAAGCACTTTACCTGGACTAATTTATCAAAACCACATGACGACCTTGAGGTCAGTGGGTTTGTATTCTCATTTCCTCATTGGAGAAAATGAGGCCCAGAAGTTCAAGAAATTGCCCAAGTCAGACAGATAATTAATGATAGACCTGGGGTTCAAATATAGGTGTTATTGTTCCAGAGCATATAGGCTTAATCTCTCTCTCTCTCTCTCTCTCTCTCTCTCTCTCTCTCTCCACACACACACACACACACACACACACAAAATCCTATTCACATACACCTGTACGCCTGCACAGACAGGTATACACATTGTGTTTATATTTGTATGTAAGTCTATATGCATGTTTGTGTGTATTCCTGGCATGACTGTCTCACACGGAATTTCCCTTAGATTTCTCCGCCTTTCTGTAAATAATCCCAGACTTATAAATGTATATAAAGTAAGGTCACCTCATGTTTTCACGTTGCCTAAGT